CACGACAACACCTCTTCCCCCTCAGGAGGCTTAAAAGATTGGTCAGCATTCAGATCCTCAAAAAGTTATACAGCTGCACCATTCAGAGCATCTGGATTGGCTGCATCACCGCTTGGTATGGCAACTGTTTGGCATCCGACCGCAAGGCACTACAGAGGGTAGTGCATATGGCCCATTATCAGGCTGTAACAATAAATGTGGAAATGTGGAAAAAGGATGTGAATACTTTCTGAAGGCACTGTAAGTGTTCTTCTGCTTAACATGAGACACTACTTATGTCCCATATAGCCCCTATCACATACACTACCAGTCAAAGGTTTGGACACACCTACTCATTCATGTGTTTTTCTTTATTTTTACTATTTTTTACATTGTAGAATAATATTGAAAACTATGAAATAACACATATGGAATCATGTAGTAAACAAAAAAAAGGGATAAATAAATTAAAATATATTTGAGATTTGAGATTCTTCAAATAGCCACCCTTTGCCTTGATGACAGCTTTGCACACTCTTGGCATTCTCTCAACCAGTTTCACCTGGAATGCTTGAAGGAGTTCCCACATATGCTGAGCACTTGGCTGCTTTTCCTTCACTCTGTGGTCCGACTTATCCCAAACCATCTCAATTGGGTTGAGGTCGGGGGATTGTGGAGGCCAGGTCAACTGATACAGCACTCCATCACTCTCCTTCTTGGTAAAATAGCCCTCACACAGCCTGGAGGTGTGTTGGGTCATTGTCCTGTTGAAAAACAAATGATAGTCCCACTAAGCCCAAACCAGTTGGGATGGTATATCCCTGTAGAATGCTGTGGCAGCCATGCTGGTTAAGTCTGCCTTGAATACTAAATAAATCACAGACAGTGTCACCAGCAAAGCACCCCCACACTATAACTCCTCCTCCTCCATGCTTTATGGCGGGAAATACATATGTGGAGATCATCCGTTCACCCACACCGCGTCTCACAAAGACACGGCGGTTGGAACCAAAAATCTTCAATTTTGACTTTTTCTTGGCCCAAGCAGGTCTCTTCTTATTATTGGTGTCCTTTAGTAGTGGTTTCTTTGCAGCAATTCAACCACGAAGGCCTGATTCACACAGTCCCCTCTGAACAGTTGATGTTGAGATATGTCTGTTACTTGAACTCTGTGAAACATTTATTTGGGCTGCAATATCTGAGGCTGGTAACTCTAATTTTACCAAATAGGGCTATCTTCTGTATACCTCCCCTACTTTGTCACAACACAACTGATTGGCTCAAACGCATAAAGAAGGAAATAAATTCCACAAATTAACTTTTAAGAAGGCACAGCTGTTAATTGAAATGCATTCCAAGTGACTATCTCATGAAGCTGGTTGAGAGAATGCCAAGAGTGTGCAAAGCTGTCATCAAGGCAAAGGGTGGCTATTTGAAAAATCTCAAATCTCAAATATATTTTGATTTGTTTAACACTTCTTTGGTTACTACATGATTTCATATGTGTTATTTAATAGTTTGATGTCTTCACTATTATTCTACAATGTAGAAAATAATAAAAATAAAGAAAAACCTGGAATGAGTAAGTGTGTCCAAACTTTTGACTGGTACTGTATATAGTGCACAATTTTAACAAGGACTGGAATGCAGACACTCTCTGCTCTCAGATGGAACTCATGTGTTTGAGTTTGAGGCATGTGACGTGACAAAGGTCTGCACCATACTGTATGGACAGGAAGTAGACAATCACTCTTGAGGACGGTATGAGATATGAGCTTGTAGCAGTATTTCCATCACCAGGCATCACCCTGTAAATGACTTCACTGTTTAACAAGAAAGCTCTCCACGCTCTGTCTGTGACTCTCCCTACACTACACTGTGTGCTATCCCTTCAGACACCCTTCACTGTCTGTCTCCTCACATTCTTCATCCACACCTTTCTCATTATCAGCCCAAATTGAAATTACAAGTATTTCTGATTCCTAGTGAATGGTAAGAAATGGGTAACAGGCAGAATAATCAATAACCAATGGGCTGACAGGCAGGTCGGGAACAGGTTCCTTATGGCCTTGTGCGTGTGTGTGTGTGTGTGTGCTTGCACGAGTGTGTTTGTGTGCGTGTGGCCTATGAAATATATGGAATGAGATTTGGATGCGATTACTGTATTGTGTAATTAGCCTCAGATTGCCAGGCAAATAATCTAATTCATAATTTAGTTTTATACAAATTAGATTCGCCATTAATCTGATATCACTACTTACTGTTCTTATCGAATCACTGATATAAGAGAGAGACACAGTAAAGCCACTGAATTCTGAACGTAATTGAATCACCAGAATACTCAATACAGTAGGTCAGGGTTCCCCAACAGGTGGCCCGCGGACCAAATTCGGCCCACTTTCGTTGTTAGACATAAAAGTCTGTAAAATCACCAGGAAATCAGCTCAAAGTTATTAGAATTTTAGTAATCTGTTACCAAGTATTCACATGCATAAATACTAGGTATGTAATGGTTCAAATGTTTAAGATGCGAGTGCATCGGTCCACGGGAGCCCAAATCGATCCAAATGAATCATGCATCTGTAAGAAAACCGATTCAAATGTTACGAATCGCCGGTTCACTAACGTTTTTTACTCATATTATTTATTTCTGCCTTATTCTGAAAATACCTCTAATCTGTTCTGACTGAATCGATTCATCCTCTCCTTCAGCCTATTGAACTCTGTGCATGTAACCGCGTATGACATTGATCTACAAGTCAGATAACAACTGCGTGCACAGTGCGGGAGACACAGCTGCTCGAGCCAACGAGATGTAGGCCTACCCTATCCCTGTTCTAATATTGGTAGGCAACATCTGTGTGGCACCTTCAGCATTCAGATGTTTGTCAAATGGATTTTGCAATATATTAAATCATAGGCTTTATTAATTGAAGGACAACCAATGTAATTTGCTGGGTCATTGTTACTAAATGCGCTGTAGGAAACTGTGTTTTACCGGCAGAGCTGTGTAGGCTACTGGAGTGGACACAACTCACATCTTGCTGATTGCACATCTAACTGCTGATTGGGGCTTTTCGAGTAGCAAGTTCACCTTACGAAATATATTTGGTAGTTCTGCTTTAAACAGGGTAAAGGTGTAATTTTATAACAACAACAGCAGCTCTCCTCCGTAAAGTTCCAAACAGTCAAAACCATTAGCTTTTGAGACGGGGGTGAAATCCAAATCTGTGTTATATTAATTGCCAATGTATGTCCAGTGGTGTATATTCATGAATACCAAGGGAAGCCATGCTTCCCCAAAATATTTACCAAGAAAAAAAGAAAAAAACGGTGTTTGATTATTGTCCTTCAATTCGCAAGAGGCTGAATATATCTCACCAGAGAAAGCTTCCGAGCAAGCAAAACCTCTGTCTCTGTATGTGTAGGCCATCTATCTGATGCTGTCTGGTCAAAAAGAGTATGACATTGTTGCCACCCGTAGCATTGAACGCAAGGGAAGCCAGCGAGCATTTGGCCTCCCATGATAAAAAAGTTTCAAATAATAGCCAATCAGCATTGAGCTAAACCATGAATGGTCTTTGCGCACCAAAAAAAGTATAATGGGAAGACTGTTTGGATTTGGCTTCACACCTATCACATCACATTGAGAGCAAAACATCATTAACAGAAACAACTTCAATTGTTGCATCTCATTGTGTTGTTGTCCTCCGGTGGCTAGCTAGCTAGCTAAAATTGGCCCTTTCCGAAATGAGTCCTGGATGGAGATAGGGATTTGGACTTGTGGTTTTACTTAATTATCCGTACTGGCCAATGATTATAATGGCAATTCTGATCCAACCATAGATTCATACATTGTGCCCCTGGCCTGAGAGGATGGAAGTTCAATATCTAGCTAGATATAGAGGCTAATGTTAATAAATCGCACCAAATTGTTTCAAACTAAAAGTCTCATTCCTGTATCGTATCGGAGCCCATGGATCTAGATATTGTGCTTGTAAGGAGACATGCATATCCCTAATAAATTGAGAGGTATATGTGATCGTATCCCAATGTAATCAAGGTTTGAAATGATTCTGTTTTTGTCAAATATTATATCTGTTTGGGCTTGAGGTCAATCTGCAGTCTACAAATTATTTATTAATATCTTCCGGCCCCCCGACCATCCACTCAAGAAAAAATCGGCCCGCGGCTGAATGTAATTGGGGACCCCTGCAGTAGGTGGTATATTGTAATGTTAACTTCTCTAAAACATGCTGGATAAACAGAACATGGCTTCAAACCCTTGGGGCTGAGCCACACTGTCTGTAGACAAGGTGAAAACTGGAAGAATGAGGCAGCTAGTATGAGCAAGAAATACATCTCCTCAGCAGTCATTTAATAGAAAACTACAAGAGCCTATTTGTTAGCATCACTCAATAGCGACAACAACAGAACAGTAGTTGTGTGTACTACCAACTCTCTCAGACGATGGAGAGTAGTGGAGCTCATTCAGTGTGTAATTCACAGCGATATGGTGAAGATTTATCATAAGCCAGATGTCTGTGGTGCTCTCTCTCCCGGATCCTCAGGTGCAGGTGTATGTGTGTGTCTGTCTATGGAGCCAGTTTACCACTGTGACAATAATGTGAAGCAGATGGTCCAGCCGTGGCTCTTTACCAGTCATTCTCTACGACCTCCACCCATTCTAACTGCAGACCTCCATTTAAACCTGTCAGATGTGGTTAGATATGGAATGGCAGGGCACCTGTCCTCTCCTCCCCCTCCTCTCCTCCTCCTATACACCCCTCCCCACTCCTTTCTACCCGTCACCCTCTCTACTAAATATGCTGTGTTGGTGCAGCGTCCCTGAGGACCTGCTCTGACAGTAAGACGGGAGGTAGACGGAAGGAGGGAGTCCTCCTTGGCATGTGTACAAAGGGTCTGACTCTGGGGTTAACATATTCTTTCTCTGCCAGCTGTTCATATAGGCTCCCTCCAGACTGAACACGTTTCCCTCTTATTGTGTAAATACTCACATATTCCCCATATGTGTCCTGTACTATGGGTGGTGGTGGTCTGTACCCCGCGGGCGGGGGAGCCCCTCGTGTTCTTTGTGCTGGCACACCCCTCCCTCGGGCCGATGGTACCCGAATGGGGGGTGCCCCTCTCGGTGCTGCTCCACGGGGGACAGCTGCGTGGGGAGGGGGCACACCTCCTCGACTCCTACCACACAGGATAAGCAGGGGAGAATTTTAGGCAGCATCTCAAATGGCAGCCTACATATGCACTGTTTTTGACCAGAGCCCTATGGCTTAAGTGGACCAATAGACTGTCAGCAAGATACCTCTGCAATTCAGACATAATCCCATTACTGTTAGTGAGTATATGGTTTATACAGTGGGGAAAAAAAGTATTTTAGTCAGCCACCAATTGTGCAAGTTCGCCCACTTAAAAAGATATATTTTTTTTTCATCATAGGTACACGTCAACTATGACAGACAAAATGAGGAAAAAATTTCCAGAAAATCATATTGTACGATTTGTAATGAATTTATTTGCAAATTATGGTGGAAAATAAGTATTTGGTCAATAACAAAAGTTTCTCAATACTTTGTTATATACCCTTTGTTGGCAATGACACAGGTCAAACGTTTTCTGTAAGTCTTCACAAGGTTTTCACACACTGTTGCTGGTATTTTGGCCCATTCCTCCATGCAGATCTCCTCTAGAGCAGTGATGTTTAGGGGTTGTCGCTGGGCAACACAGACTTTCAACTCCCTCCAAAGATTTTCTATGGGGTTGAGATCTGGAGACTGGCTAGGCCACTCCAGGACCTTGAAATGCTTCTTACGAAGCCACTCCTTCGTTGCCCGGGCGGTGTGTTTGGGATCATTGTCATGCTGAAAGACCCAGCCACGTTTCATCTTCAATGCCCTTGCTGATGGAAGGAGGTTTTCACTCAAAATCTCACGATACATGGCCCCATTCATTCTTTCCTTTACACGGATCAGTCGTCCTGGTCCCTTTGCAGAAAAACAGCCCCAAAGCATGATGTTTCCACCCCCATGCTTCACAGTAGGTATGGTGTTCTTTGGATGCAACTCAGCATTCTTTGTCCTCCAAACACGACGAGTTGAGTTTTTACCAAAAAGTTCTATTTTGGTTTCATCTGACCATATGACATTCTCCCAATCCTCTTCTGGATCATCCAAATGCACTCTAGCAAACTTCAGACGGGCCTGGACATGTACTGGCTTAAGCAGGGGGACACGTCTGGCACTGCAGGATTTGAGTCCCTGGCGGCGTAGTGTGTTACTGATGGTAGGCTTTGTTACTTTGGTCCCAGCTCTCTGCAGGTCATTCACTAGGTCCCCCCGTGTGGTTCTGGGATTTTTGCTCACCGTTCTTGTGATCATTTTGACCCCACGGGGTGAGATCTTGCGTGGAGCCCCATATCGAGGGAGATTATCAGTGGTCTTGTAAGTCTTCCATTTCCTAATAATTGCTCCCACAGTTGATTTCTTCAAACCAAGCTGCTTACCTATTGCAGATTCAGTCTTCCCAGCCTGGTGCAGGTCTACAATTTTGTTTCTGGTGTCCTTTGACAGCTCTTTGGTCTTGGCCATAGTGGAGTTTGGAGTGTGACTGTTTGAGGTTGTGGACAGGTGTCTTTTATACTGATAACAAGTTCAAACAGGTGCCATTAATACAGGTAACGAGTGGAGGACAGAGGAGCCTCTTAAAAAAGAAGTTACAGGTCTGTGAGAGCCAGAAATCTTGCTTGTTTGTAGGTGACCAAATACTTTTTTTCCACCATAATTTGCAAATAAATTCATTAAAAATCCTACAATGTGATTTTCTGGACAAGAAAAATCTCAATTTGTCTGTCCTAGTTGACGTGTACCTATGATGAAAATTACAGGCCTCTCTCATCTTTTTAAGTAGGAGAACTTGCACAATTGGTGGCTGACTAAATAGTTTTTTCCCCCACTGTACATCTGACTTACTGTACACCACACTGCCTGTGGTAGTTATTTTTTCTCTCACTGACATTAGGCACGCTAAATGCTATTTACTGTCTAATTTAAAACAGATCCAATTATAATCCCTCTCAGAGCAATACATACACACAAACAAACACACTAACACACACACATCCCTTCTCTGTGACCTGGTTTATCTCTTCATCTGATGCAGAAAGATGTTTGCTTTTATAAACACAAACATACGTTGCATTTCATTTGAAAATGTAGATAGAAAGCTTAAGAGCCACATAACGTGCGTACTATAAAATATTATAATGGAAATGACTATTTTAGTATTATTCCAAGTTATCTGGGGAGTTACATCTTAAAGACAATACACCAGGACAGTTGCATACAAACACTTATTTGAATTTCAATAGTTCTTAAAGTTGTATTGTGTATCGTTTGGGTCTGATGGTATATTTTCCAGATATCTTGTTTCCCCTCATCGGCATTATAAAGCAGAGTTTTGAATTGAATGTACTAAAACGCAGACACATATATATTTTTTCAGTTATGGGAATAACTGGTACCTGATGTGTCCTGGGGCAGGTGTCCCTCTACCCCGTGCTGCGGGCAGCTTGCCCCTCACCGCTGGCACCTTGGCATCCTCCGAGCCACCATTCAGGTACGTCAGCTCCTGCAGCTGCGCCTGTCGGATCTCATCATTGTAATCCTGCACACACACACACACACACACACACACACACACACACACACACACACACACACACACACACACACACACAAACACCCTTTTAATTACAGCGTATTAAATTACGTCCTTTATCTCCAGGGTTACAGCCCTGTAGGAATATCTAATTAATGTACTTTACAGTGCTGCCGTGACCAACCACTGTGTGTGTGTGTGTGTGTGTGTGTGTGTGTGTGTGTGTGTGTGTGTGTGTGTGTGTGTGTGTGTGTGTGTGTGTGTGTGTGTGTGTGTGTGTGTGTGTGTGTGTGTGTGCGTGTGTGTGCGTGTGTGTGCGTGTTCATGCGCTCATGCGTTTCATGATGCTGCCGTGACCGCTGCTCCTCAGGCAAAGCAATACACTCCTGATCCCCCGTTGATAAAACCCAGGAACCCCATTTGGCTTTTTATCGTCACACACAGTCGTCTTTCTCTGTTTGTGTGCGTGCGTGTGTGCTTTATCATCACACACAGTTGTCTTCACCGCTCAATGGAACGTAGCAATTAATATGGAAATCAGCGTTTAATCATAATGCCATGGTGACGATTGTCTTGTGTCTCCTCCATATCAACACATCGCTGTGTATTTGTGAGGGAAATTAAAAGTGAGACTGGAAAGATCATACACATTAATATGGGATGGAGAGATCATACTATTCTTCCATAATAGCATGGGATAGATCGGTCATCCATAATAAATGGAGTATGAGTAAATAAACGTGATGTATGGGAGTCCCAGAGAGGGATAGGCTGTGCTGAGTGGTTCCTGTCTGACTGTGTTACTCTCTTATTCAGCTTAGTCAGTTATCCCCATGACTTCCCTTCCCTCAGAGGGACGTGCATCCAATCAGACAGAGTGGGATACTGGTTCAACTGCTTCAGCTGGCTGACTGATACAGTACACGCAGATGGATTGTGGCTGGACTGGACCAGACTTCTGCCACTTGTTACTTCCTGTATAACCTTTACTGTACTATCTGGGTGTTCAATGTGGACACAGGCACAGAGTATAATCATATGTTGCACAGAAGAAGCAGGGTAGCCGATGTTAAATCAGTAGCTTCTACTTCTACATCTGCATTGCTTGCTGTTTGGGGTTTTAGGCTGGGTTTCTGTACAGCACTTTGTGACATCTGCTGAGGTAAAAAAGGCTTTATAAATACATTTGATTGGTTGACTAGCTAGCTGTTATATTGTATTCATATGTTGGATCAAATGTAAAGAGAACAGGATAAGAGTAATGAGTATGTAGGTGTCAGCACGTACTGGTATGAGGAATTTCTTGATCTCCTCCAGTGCGTGACCCATCCTGTTGTAGGCCTCTGCAGGGGGAGCGAACACTTCTATGAGGACATGGAGGTCCTCGTTCAGGTGCTGATATTTGGCCTCTCCACTCTTCCGTAGCTCTTCCTCCTGGTGGAACAAAAATAAATCAAATGTATTTATAAAGCCCTTTTTACACCAGAAGTTGTCACAATGTGCTTTAACTCTATTATAGTCCCCTCAGTTACTCCTCACAGTTCATTTAATCCACACAGGATCAGCAAGACTGATCCAGCTAATCTGTTTGACTGGATTATTCAATTTATACTTACTATAATTAGGGCTGTCAGAGTAAATCAGTTAACTCTAGTTCACTTTTTGCAATTTAAGTTATGTTTTTTATTGTGATTAATCGCATGTCTGAAAGCATTCAGAATACACTGAAAAATCCAAACAATCTATACAGATAAAAACAACAGCGGGACGTCAAAACAAGTTGACATTGAGGTTAAAGAAAGTGTGCTTTATCACTTTACCAGATTTTGCTAACTGTTACTTTGGACAAAATCAAGACGTCAATATTCTTGTAATACTTTTTGTATAAAAAGTCTGAAACTTCAGCTCAATTTGAGCAAATTCTGAATTTGCAGTTAATCGCGATTAAACACAGCAAATCCTGCGATTAACTTTATTACATTTTTCATATTGTTTGACAGCCCTAAATATAATAAAACCACAATACTGATCAGACCTTCAATGCCACAAAGGAGTGCACCGCTCTATACAGTATGTAATACATTACAGTATATTGTAAAAAGGTGATAGACCAACATAGATGTCACACCCTGGCTCTGGGGACACTGTTATGTTGAGCCAGGGTGTGTAGATCTATGTTCCCTATTTCTATGTTGGCCTGAGTGACTCCCAATCAGAGGCAACGAGTGTCAGCTGTTTGCTGGTTGTCTCTGATTGGGAGCCATATTTAATCTGTCGGTTTTTCCTTTGGTTTTGTGGGTTCTTGTTTCGAGTTGGTTGTGTTATACCGTGTACTGTCACGTTTCCGTCTTTTGTTGTTTTGATATCGTTTCGCTTAATAAATGAGTATGTTTGCCTGCAACGCTGCGCCTTGGTCCTCATCTGTTCCTGACGATCGTGACAATAGATCCGAATGGACCATCTCATCCAGACAGAAAGAGGCCAATATGTTATTGAAGGGCCAAAATAGGACAGCCAAACCCTAAGTAAAACTACAGCACAGACAACAACATGAGTTGTATAGACACCCCAGTTTCCTCATCTGAACAAAACCCTGCTCAGCTCTTCTCTAGTGGCGTGCCTCTACGCTGCTAGCTATTGAGAACTTCCTTCCTCCCTCCTCCAGTGGCATCATGCAACACACATACACACACAATCACACAATCACACTCACACTCATACTCATACTCTCCCTCTCACTCACACGCTCACACTCACACACACTTCCCTCCTCTAGAAGGCAGTCTCTGATGTGATGTCATGTGATTATAAATAACCTGGTTTTAAGCCTGTGGTATGTTAATGAGATGCTAATTTCCCTCATAAATCTGTGTTTTACGAGGAAGAGGCTCCTCTGTGTATACTGTCTGCCTCTACTGATGGAGCTGCCGGCGTCACCATGGGCTGCTGAGCACCTATAGGAAGACTGTGTGTGTGTGTGTGTGTGTGTGTGTGTGTGTGTGTGTGTGTGTGTGTGTGTGTGTGTGTGTGTGTGTGTGTGTGTGTGTGTTTGTGGCCCCTCACATAGCTCTGATAAGATACATCAATGACACACACACATACATACACACTGTCTTCTTATAGGTGCTCAGCAGCCCATGGCAGGAGATTACAGCTGTCACCTCCTCTATCTCATCCAAGCATCTCCCCTCTGTTGATATTCCTCATAGAGAATCTGTTTATATTCCTCACTGCAAATCTGGTTATCAAACAGCCATTCTCTTCCCAGAAACCGAGGCACAAAGAGGCACAAAGCCTGAGACAACAGCATGAGAGTCCATAGGAACTCCATTGGAAAGACAGTTTGGTTCAGAGAATGAAACGTATGAGGGCTGTTAGTTGTTGCAGGTGACACCTTGTTATGCATTCTGAATAATAGGAGGATGCCGCAACAGCAACAACATGGATGCAGTGTATAGTAGTGACTTCTTGCAGACTGCGAGGACTGACAGACGACAAGGACGCCCAAGTCAACAACTAGATGTCATTTCATCATCCATTTTAAGCTCCACTAGCCTTCGTTTCCATAACACCAACCTTGAACCCAGAAGCATACGCCTCCCTAAACATCACCCAGCCCAAGGAATGTACAATAAAGCAACTACAGGACAGAGACTCTGAATGGTTCTATATCATATTGGCTATAAGAGTCTATGGTGACAGTGCAGGGATGTCAGGGGTGCCATTGGCTCCACACTCAGAAGCAGAGGAGGAGAAGGGAGAAGGAGAAGAGAGAAGCCTGATACAGCCTGTTGCTGCTGTGGTGTGATAAGGTGGTGTTGAAGGAGTCAGGCGCAGGAGGGTAAATCACAGAAACAGGCTTTAATCCGAAAAATACAGGTTTACGCAGAAATGCGTCAAACACACCAGGGCACAAAACAGGTGCACTAAAAAATACAAGGCACATGGGAAAATACTCCCATCGATACAAAATACACGAGCTCCACCGAGCTTCACTAACCTCCACAACAAACAATCACCCACAAGGACAAGGGGGCAGAGGGAACACTTATACATGGACTAATTAGGGGAAATAGAACCAGGTGTGTGTGAATGACAAGACAAGACAATTGTGATGATGATTGGGGCGGCAGTGGTTAGTACTCCGGTGACCACGAACGCCGAAGCCTGCCCGAACAAGGAGGGGAGGCAGCCTTGGCCGAAGTTGTGACATGTGGCCTTCCTTTGATCCTTTCATTGACACTCCTCTGTGTAACTGACGATGACAATCTTGGGTAGATATTAGAGGAATTCTATGAGAATTCTATGCATAGCAATAAAGCATACACTGAGGCTGAGCTTTTATCCATCTGTAACTGGCTTGCAGGGAGGCAGCTATAAGAACACAGCTGTATCCATACAATTAGAATTACGCCTCTTCATGCTAGAAAACTTCATGTATAATACACACCTCTCACTGCAAGCAAACAGCACAAAATGTGCTTTTCAGGGCACATCATTTTCTGAAACGATGAACGGAAAGGTGCATGCTGGATCTGGAGCAAGCTGTCAATCACAGATCACAGATCTCCCTGGTGAGGTAGTGGAGGAGGTGTGTGAAGCATGCCGAGCTGTGTGTGTGAGCTGTGTGTGCGCGTGCGTGCATGTGTGTTTGAAACCTGCTGAGTCTGATGAGCTCAGCACAACTCCATAACAGATCTGTTCAGCAGGTGTTCCAAAGTTGTGCCGTCAGAGAGAATTGATCACAACAATCTAACGGAATGTTGCTGTATGACACTGAAGATCATCGATGTCACAAATCACCCATGACGACAAACTGACTGACGGAGAAAGACTGTCACAGACACAACAAGACAGAACACATCCACAATAACTCAGATGGTTATTGATGCCTTTACACTGAGGGTGTCTGCCTCAATTTACCTGACACAAACAACAGCGAGATAGAGAGACAGAGAGGAAGAGAAAGAGAAGAGGTTTTACTAGATAGAGAGGGAGAGAGAGAGAGATGTTTGACTGTTAGAGAGAAGGATAGAATGACGTGGCTGTTACCTTTTCTTTGTCTCTCATTGATCCTTTCCCCAGAATGGACATCTTAGTGAGCGTGTCTTCCTGTAGTCTCTTTAGTGAGTTCCCGCGTGGACCCAGCAGTTTGCCCACGAAGTTAAACTAAAACAGAAACAAAAGTAGAGAAGCTGAATGAGTAACTGTGCTGATGAGATAAAGACAAAAACAGTTGTATGTCAATCAAATGTTGGTTCAAACAGTGCTCTTTTAATTAAATTGAAATAAGATAGTATTTGACAAGAGTAAAAAATTCAACTAATCCGTATTTGGTTTGACATGAGAACTGTCTTCCTAGTAGCACTGTGTCTCCATAACACTGTTATCTCAACCATGTCCAGGGGTGCATACCAAATGGCACCCTATTCCATGTACAGTACCAGTCAAATGTTTGGACACACCTACTCATTCAAGGGTTTTTCTTTATTTTTACTACTTTCTACTTTGTATAATAATAGTGAAGACATCAAAACTTTGAAATAACATATATGGAATCATGTAGTAACCAAACAAATCAAAATATATATTTTAGATTTTAGATTCTTCAAAGTAGCCACCCTTTGCCTTGATGACATCTTTGCACACTCTTGGCATTCTCTCAACCAGCTTCACCTGGAATGCTTTTCCAACAGTCTTGAAGGAGTTCCCACATATGCTGAGCACTTGTTGGCTGCTTTTCCTTCACTCTGCGGTCCAACTCATCCCAAACCATCTCAATTGGGTTGAGGTCGGGTGATTGTGGAGGCCAGGTCATCTGATGCAGCACTCCATCACACTCCTTCTTGGTCAATTAGCCCTTACACAGCCTGGAGGTGTGTTGGGTTATTGTCCTGTTGAAAAACAAATGATAGTCCCACTAAGCGCAAACCAGATTGGATGGCGTATCGCTGCAGAACTGTGGTAGCCATGCTGGTTAAGTGTGCCTTGAATTCTAAATAAATCACAGAGCACCAGCAAAGCACCCCCACACCCCCACACCCTCACACCTCCTCCTCCATGCTTTACGGTGGGAACCACACATGCAGAGATCATCCGTTCACCTACTCTGGGTCTCACAAAGACACGGCTGTTGGCACCAAAAATCACAAAGGACAGATTTCCAATCAATCAATCAAATGTATTTATAAAGCCCTTTTTACATCAGCAGATGTCACAAAGTGCTACACAGAAACCTAGCCTAAAACCCCAAACAGCAAGCAATGCAGATGTAGAAGCACAGTGGCTAGGAAAAACTCCCTAGAAAGGCAGAATCCTAGGAAGAAACCTAGATAGGAACCAGGCTCTGAGGGATGGCCAGTCCCCTTCTGGCTGTGCTGGGTGGAGATAACAGCACATGGCCATTAAGGACAGATTTTTCTCCAAGATGTTCATACGTTCATAGATGACCAGTAGGGTCAAATAATAATCACAGTGGTTGTAGAGGTTGCAACAGGTCAGTACATCAGGAGTATATGTCACTTGGCTTTTCATTGTCGGGCATTTAGATGTTGAAGTAGCAGGTGCGGTAGAGAGAGAGAGTTGAAAACAGCAGGTCAGGGACAAGGTTGCACATCCGGTGAACAGGTCAGGGTTCCATAGCCGCAGGCAGAAGAGTTGAACCTGGAGCAGCAGCACAACCAGGTGGACTGGGGACAGCAAGGAGTCATCAGGCCAGGTAGTCCTGAGGCAGGGTCCTAGGGCTAATGTCCATTGCTCGTGTTTCTTGGCCAAAGCAAGTCTCTTCTTATTATTGGTGTCCTTTAGTAGTGGTTTCTTTGCAGCAATTCGACCATGAAGGCCTGATTCACGCAGTCTCCTCTGAACAGTTGATGTTGAGATGTGTCTGTTACTTGAACTTGGTGAAGCACTTATTTGAGCTGTTCTTGCCATAATGTGGACTTGGTCTTTTACCAAGTAGGGCTATCTTCTGTATACAGTACCACCCCTACCTTGTCACAACACAACTGATTGGCTCAAACGCATTAAGAAGGAAAGAAATTCTACAAATTAACTTTTAACAAGGCACACCTGTTAATTGAAATGCATTCCAGGTGACTATCTCATGAAGCTGGTTGAGAGAATGCCAAGAGTGCACAAAGCTGTCATCAAGGCAAACGGTGGCTATTTTTAAAAATGTCAAATATAAAATATATTTTCATTTGCTTAACACTTTTTTGGTTACTACATGATTCCATATGTGTTATTTCATAGTGTTGAAGTCTTCACTATTATTCTACAATGTAGAAAATAGTAAAAATAAAGAAAAACCCTGGAATGAGTAGGTGTGTCCAAACTTTTGACTGGTTCTGTATAGTGCACTACTTGACCTGGACCAAAAGGGTGCCTTTTCCCTTACAAAAAAAAGATTGCAGTTTTGAAACTGCAGTAAAAGTGCAGTAACTGCAGTCGACTGTGGTATTTTGCACGCAGTAATTGAAGAATAAGTAATTGAAGAATAACTGCAGTGTCCTGCAGTTGAGCTGCAGCTATAATGCTCTGTAACTGCAGCTACTATAGATGATTTTCAAGTACATATGTTGTAGAATTAAACACCTATATGCCTTAAAATGTTTATGGATTGAGAACCAGTTGAAGGGTTAATACAGAGCAGAGACATTTATGTGTTTTTCATAAACTCCCTGCAGCTGGTCTGGGTATGTCAATGACATGTGATGGAGATACAACTCCTCGTGATGGTTGTGTGGAGATTGGAGTAACAATGGAACTAGTGTTATCATTTGTTTGTGCTTATGACCTTATGACCTGACACATGGCCACATGCACATAATCTCAAGGGCCAGGGAGGATGGTAAATGATAAATGCTTAGATGTATGTGGTTGAGAATGGGTTATGGATGACATGTTTAAACCATGTTTAAGTATTAATTGATATGTTTTATAATGTGTTATGAAATGATAAAGGTAAAACAGAATGAACATGATTGATACTTTGTACTCCAGATGCATGCCTGGATAGTGAATATAGTCAATACAGAATGTGATTGTTCTTTAACGTACGTATGTACATAATTTTTTGAGCCATGCCACTAATAGGATACAGAGGCCCCACTTAGAGAAGCGCAAGTAGCCCTCGTGAGTAGCCAACATGTGATACTGAAAGATGTTATTCATTCACATAGGGAGGAGTAACTATCAGTTGTATCAGTGTGACTGTATAAAAAGAGCGCTCCGGTTCAGGGCAAGCAGTTGCTCCATGGAGCAAGCTCGGCTTTGTTATGCAAATAATAAAAGTCTAAATTCACAAGTTCCAGTCTCTTGAGAAATATTTTATATTTAGTAGTTGACTACTTTTTGAGTCAAATATTTCTACGACATATTTGGCGAGCTTGCCAGGAGTTGACAACAGGGGCCAGAGACGGTGAAACGGCTTGGACGGACCATACAAACAAAAGCGGCCGCTTTTAACAGGTAAGCCAAGTTCTTACTTATATAGTATAACGTTTGTGTGGTCCGATCCGGGGCACGGCATCAGCTGCAGAAATACCAAGTAGGTCTCTCCAAATTTAAGAACCAGAAAATTAGAGACTAGGAGCTTTTGAATTTAAGAATACATGTCGATGTCACTCTGTTGTTCGTCTGAACCGTCTGTTCAATTGATTTGATTCATTTGATTCATCCTGCTGATCGCTTTCTCTGGGTCATTTCGGCACGGGCGGTTGTCCATCTGGTTGAGCGATCAGACAATAACATGTTAAGTCCTGCGAATACCGCTATAAACGTGTCGAGGAAGTGTATCATTTATAGGCTGCTTAGGTAGGCAGAAATCCTGTGCAATACCGCTTCTTTTTCTGTGAAGTGTATCAGAAAGAAAGGGCAGAATTTACTGGTCGCTTAGGAAAGCGTAGTAGAAGTCCAGGTGTGTGGAGGAAGTGTATCACCTAGGGGGCTAAATAAATAGAAATCCTGTGGATACCGCTTTGGAGAGCTAAAAATTAGCGCTCCAGAGGGCTGAACGGGCAGGTGGCTAGCTAAATTTGGGACCTACGGTTACCTCTCTAATGAGGAATTCATTGTTAGAGGTCTGCTCGGGTAGGTGGGGCATCATCCTGTGTTGTGGTGATGCCAAAGTTAGGCAGGGTCGATCAGGTAAAAAAGTTAGGTCATCCGGCGTAGGTGACAGCATACATTTTAGTAACACTGGTCATCCTGAGTAGGTGAACGGGTTAAATAGCCACAAGGGCTTCAAAATATAGAGAAAGTGTTAAATAGAGTAGGTCTGCTCATCTTGTGTGGGTGAGTGGTTTGCTTGGGCGGCTGTGAGTCATTCAACTGTCTGATTCATTTGGGCACAAGTGGCTACTCATCTGTATGAATGAGAATAATAAGAAATCCTGCAGATAACAGCTTATTTTCTGTGTTGAGGAGAGAAGCTGTGTTTGAGGTCGTTTGAAGTGTCGGTGTTTGGTGGAGAATGGTTGGCGCACCTTTCCTGGACCGTTGTTTGAGTATAACCTGGTAGGAAGGACGCACCCGGTCTCACACCAAGAGAGGAAGAGTGAATGGTGCGTGGATATTCATTGACCAACTGAGTGTAGAAAATTCACGTTACCAGGAGGGGTAGAATAAAACCTGTTGGAGGAACAGGTCACGTGTACCGGTGTGATCATATGACGTCTATGCATTTTATTTTGATCAATCTTTTAGGGTATGTTTCTGACATTATATTTAGAAACTTTAGAGGTGATGTAGTATTATGATAAATTGACTACAGTAAAATAATAACTAGGATAGGGTTAACATTCCAAATTTGGGCCCTTTGATAGAATAAAATATTCCTGTAGGTTATACAAATAGTAATTAAGCGCGTTTGAGAAGAACATTGTATAAATATGGAATAAGAGTGGTATAATGGTGTAAATTAGTCGCACTCTGAAGTTTGAATGATGAGATATAGAGGTGTGTATGATAATTATATATACGTTGGAATAATAAGCTTTTCTTGTAAATGATATCTTGGAGACAATGCCTGTCATAGAATTTTGTAAGATCAGGGAATAGTGACCAGCATATATGATTCTGGGAGGATTCTATGACTGAGGGGAAGGATTAGGGTAATTTGTTGTTCGTTCGCTGAGACTAGATTGTGATTAACTGATTTGTGGCAATAAAGAATCATTAGAAACATGAATGGTTTGGTTGATGTGAATATATTAGAATATAATTAATTTTATGGGAGTGTAATTTATTACAAGTCATTGGATAAAATTATAGGTGTTGACTTGCACGCCCAAACACGTACAGACGTACGTGGGGATGGGATAAAGTACATGGAGCATGTGGTGGAATTAAGCATTAAAATAAACTATCTATTATTTCAGAAGCAGAGGTGATATAGTCAAGGAATTTTAGTATATTAGGGGGAAAATATAATTAATTTGGTTAGGTCGTTAGATCTGTTTCCAAATCAATGAATGTGGGGTTTGACTCGTTGACTGCTAAGTTGTTTACGTTGAGCGTGTGAGATCTGTGTCCTTCAAAGCTATTTTCTGATAAAGTGTGGTATGTGCCAGATACTAAAACTACTGACCATTATCATTGAAATAAAGGAGGATTAACTTGTCTTTTCAATAAAGCATAGATTCTGCATCGCTGATCAGAGTCTAGGTTTTCTAAGTATAGTTTAACTATGGTTGTGGGTTGTTTAGATTGACGGAACAGTCAGGATAAGACTGGACGATTTAGCAGCCTGCGTCTTTTCAGACTGAAGGACTCACTTATTCAACGGGAAAGAAGGGGGAGTGTCTATAGTCTAATCAGAAAGGACAGTTACATACATTTGAATAGCGGACTGGCAATTTGGATAGAGTTTTGGCCATAATTTGAATTGTTTAGGTAGACTGGAATGAAAGTAAGGTCTTTTAATAATATGAATATAAATATATTATTAGTTATTGTTGGGATGTGAATAGACTTTACTAATGCCATGAACTAGTTTCCGGGTAAAAGAGAGTCGTACTTGCTTGCCTGTATCGAGCTGAAAGATATATTTGAAGCAAGTTTGAATAGTTGGAGGGAAAACATTTATTTGACACATTCTAATTGTTATTACTTTATTCTATAGTTTGCGTGACACTAGTGATGTATGTGAATAGTTGAATTCTAGAATGATAATGTATTTTCGTTACGTGAACCAGGGGATGCAAGCAATGGCACCAATTTATAGTGGGTTCTAGATTTGTTGAATAAACAAACTTATATTTTAAACTAAAGTAATGCAATAGGCTACAATTATAACATTATCAGAAAAAGGCACTATACGCTCATCTGTGGTCCTCTGTAGCTCAGTTGGTAGAGCACGGTGCTTGCAATGCCAGGGTTGGGTGTGCGATTCCCAAGGGGGGCTAGTATAAGTATAAAAATGTATGAGCTCACTAATTGTGCGTCGCTTGGAATAAGAGCATCTGCTAAATGACTAACATGTAAAAATGTTAACGGGTATGGAGAGTACGTGGTAGTAATTTTTTAGTCATTGAATAAGGTTTTGCTAGATTAAACGAGTGACAATGGTGGAATATGTCTATAAAAAAATTGGATCGTGATAAATGGATGATTTCAATATATGATGGTAAACTACAGCAAGTGTTTGGTGTTACTTGTAGCTTACTTAGAAAGGATAGTTTAATAGATCTCATTCATTCTGTAATGGCGGGGTGATGGTTTAATTGCGTGGCTATGATTTTAGTTGATTACAAGAGAAATAGGATATAGTTTATGACGCATGGAGAAGTGAATGTCTTATATGGTAATAGATAAACTGAACCAAACATGACGTTACTACGGCAAATTAGCATGGTTAATGTTGTTATGTTCGTTTTTAAACCCTATGATAGAGGTAAATGCAGAACGCTGTTTGAAAGTGTGTTTTATTAGGTCTGCTAGTAAAAATGGAAGAATTTCCATTTTTGTCTGCGGGTGTTAAACATTGGGGCTTGCTGAAACGTGAGAGCGCTATAAGGGACATTATGGGTTAAGTTAGGTGTACAAGGATCGCGTATTTTGTAGGAAGTCGTAGGAGGTTGAATATTATCGGCAGGAAATTGCTAGCTAGTTAGCGGTGAGAGCGTTTTCGTTGGGTGACGTCACTTGCTCTATGAACTGGAAGTAGTTGCTTTTGCGGGGGCTGTGGCATTTGTGGAGCGACGGGTAACGGTGCTTCGATGGTGAATGTTGTCGATGTGTGCAGAGGGTCCCTGGTTCAAATCCAGTAAGGGACAGAAAGCAAATCTTTTACATTGATGTGAATTACTGTTTTCATTGATAACATTATAGGAAAGATGTTGTCCTACCAATCCATGTCAGATAGGATAACATAGTAATTAAAATTGCATATTGGTGAATTGGATGTTTTATTGGTTTTTACTATAAATATAAAATAATTTGTCATCTGTTGAGGTACCGTTATGAGGGAAATTAGCGGTAGAGTATGATAGATATTGTAGAGGGTTTTAAAAAATAAGTTAATTGGGTGATGAGGCAGGATGACTTGATGTTGAATGGGATTGTTTAATAGAAGTAATTATTTATATTTAGGAGAATGAGAATATGTTATTAGGTAGTATTGCTTTGTGGAGACGATTTACTAATGAAGAACATGTCTCGATAGTTGAATAAGGAATGATATTTGATAATTGATCATTTTATTATGACATTATATAGTTTGTTTAAACAGCAGTGAGTTATGACAATGGTTTATTACTTCAGATAACGATAATTTGTTTATAGTACGTTGAACGATGGGAGGTAGTTGTTGCTGTTGGCCTGATGGATTAAGTAGACATCTTTTTATGGGTTTTGGATTATGAAACAATAAGTTTATATTTAAAAAAAAAACATCAATGCAACAGTTTGCGACGTTTAAATTACTAAAAAGGGGTTATAGGTTTATAGTGGAAGGTGTAGTTAACTTAATAAAACGTGTTATTATCTAGTGTCTTCTAAGTGGGAGTTTCTTTTAAGGATTGATGGGAGTCTCCTATAATATTATGTTAGGGGTAAAGTAGGACACGACGTATCAAACAATTTTAAATCGATGCTGGGGTTAATGATTGTTGATGAGATAGGACTGGGGATATATGTATGATGTTTTGTGTGTAATTACTATCTTTGGATTGTTGATTATATGTTAACGACATGTATACTTTCTCTTCCAGGAACATGGGGATTTCTTTATATCTCATTGGGATGTTAAAAAGTCTGTAGGCTAGGGTGGAACTAGTTAGTAAAATTAAGTCGTTTTATTTTTAGGTTGTGATAGGGAGCTACCAAAATAAATAAGGCCTGGCCATTTTTTGTTTGTTTATTGTTTTACTATATGGTGTTCGAATAACCACAAACAAACTACTTAGTATGAAATGTTATTCTGTATAGGATTTTTATTTCTATTTTGGGTTTTTTGATGGGATGGAAGTGAAATATCTTAAAGGGGCATACACATGTAATTTGGGTTTTATTTACTGAGGGATAAGTAAATATGTGTGATTTATTTTGAAAAGAGCTGTACTAAGGACTTACTGTACACTCGGGATACAACATTTATGAAATGTCTTGATGGTTATTAATGAGTAGTATACTATTGGATGAAACAATTAATTGAATGATTTCAATGACCTCTGAAATCTGTCCTGGCTTTATAGTGTGACCTGATCACCCGCACTATAAATTCTAGAGGCATGCTTTATTAGGGGGTTGGATATAATAAGGATAATTGTGAAGAAGTTTTTGTAATTTGGACAAAATCCTATATATATATATATATTAGTCCAAACAGGACAAGGATGAAGTGAGAGAGTTAGTCCTGAAGGAGAGGTTTCTGAATAGTGTTATGGGATCAGTTAAGTAAAGATATGCTCAAGGGTTGTCATTTTCCCGTTTAGTTATTATTTTTTGGGTTTTTTAGGCAATATGTTGTTGTTTTGTTTATTTGAACACATGAAATCACGATGTGATGCATGTGTCCAAGGGGGAAGTTGGGCTTACAGAGGTTTTAATGTTTTTTTAAAGGGTTTTTGGGGAAATTGCAAGGTGTATTAAGGAAAAATAGAAGTATAACAATGTGTTATGGGTTAGGTTAAATCTTTTGTTTTTGTGATAGGAGGAAGAAATAAGTGGACTACAAAAAGCGGAAGCAGGTGTGAATTGCAATTAAAGGATTAGATTATTGATATTGATTCTTTGATTGTTATAATAATTGTGATATGGGTAAAAAAGGTTATGTAAGCTAAAGATGTTGACACCATTCTTAACATGTCCTAGATATTATGGTTTTTAAAAAAAGTTGCATTTATTTCTTATATATTTGATGTGTTAGGATACTACCACGTATATTGGAAATACAACAAAACAAAAAGGGGAGCAATGGTTACAAAGCTCAACAGCAACAATTGGAGGTTAGCTTAGAGGGAAACCTTCAAGACTTGTAACCAATACCTGACTGGGCTCCTTGTCCTCATCAGGATGGGTCAGACAATGAGGAATATACATTGGTCTGAATATATATTCTTATAAAATGTAACCACAGATGGCAAGGCTAAGAATAAGTATATGCACATGCTTACACTCATTTTATGTTATCTTTTGTTTTATTGGTTGGGACTTAGAAAGTCCCAAAGGGGGGAAATATATAGATGATTTTCAAGTACATAAGTTGTAGAATTAAACACCTACATGCCTTAAAATGTTTATGGATTGAGAACCAGTTGAAGGGTTAATACAGAGCAGAGACATTTATGTGTTTTTCATAAACTCCCTGCAGCTGGTCTGGGTATGTCAATGACATGTGATGGAGATACAACTCCTCGTGATGGCTGTGTGGAGATTGGAGTAACAATGGAACTAGTGTTATCATTTGTTTGTGCTTATGACCTTATGACCTGACACATGGCCACATGCACATAATCTCAAGGGCCAGGGAGGATGGTAAATGATAAATGCTTAGATGTATGTGGTTGAGAATGGGTTATGGATGACATGTTTAAACCATGTTTAAGTATAAATTGATATGTTTTATAATGTGTTGTGAAATGATAAAGGTAAAACAGAATGAACATGATTGATACTCCTGAGTGGCGCAGTGGTCTAAGGCACTGCATCGCAGTGCTAACTGTGCCACTAGAGATCCTGGTTCAAATCCAGGCTCTGTTGCAGCCGGCCGCGACCGGGAGACTCATGGGCGGCGCACAATTGGCCCAGCGTCGTCCAGGGTAGGGGAGGGAATGGCCAGCAGGGATGTAGCTCAGTTGATAGAGCATGGCGTTTGCAACGCCAGGGTTGTGGGTTTGATTCCCACGGGGGGCCAGTATAAAAAAAAAATGTATTCACTAACTATAAGTCGCTCTGGATAAGCTAAATGAATAAAATGTAAAAAAAAAAAATGTAAAAAATGATACTTTGTACTCCAGATGCATGCCTGGATAGTGAATATAGTCAATACAGAGTGTGATTGTTCTTTAACGTACGTATGTACATAATTTTTTGAGTCATGCCACTAATAGGATACAGAGGCCACACTTAGAGAAGCGCAAGTAGCCCTCGTGAGTAGCCATCATGTGATACTGAAAGATGTTATTCATTCACATAGGGAGGAGTAACTATCAGTTGTATCAGTGTGACTGTATAAAAAGAGCACTCCGGTTCAGGGTAAGCAGTTGCTCCATGGAGCAAGCTCGGCTTTGTTATGCAAATAATAAAAGTCTAAATTCACAAGTTCCAGTCTCTTGAGAAATATTTTATATTTAGTAGTTGACTACTTTTTGAGTCAAATATTTCTACAACATTACACTACAAAATTACAGCAGTAAAAAAAACATTGCTTTTTTGGACGCAGTATTTGCAGCATACTGCAGTTATACTGCACTCTGACTGCAATCTTTCTGCCTTTGACAACTAACACACATAATCCTTACAATTATAACAGCATTATGTGAAATGAGGAGGCTCAGAGTTTGAACGGTCAGGTTTGATTTGACTTGAGAACTATCTTTTATAGTAGCACTGAGTCTCCATAACACTGTTATTTCAACCATATCCAAGTGTGCATCTCAAATGGCACCCTATTCTCTACATAGTGCACTACTTTTGACCAGGGCCCATAGGGTCAAACACTATATAACACTATTTGGTAAAAGACCAAGTCCATATTATGGCAAGAACAGCTCAATTAAGCAAAGAGAAACAACAGTCCATCATTACTTTAAGACATGAAGGTCAGTCAATACGGAACATTTGAAGAACTTTCTTCAAGTGCAGTCGCAAAAACCATCAAGCGCTATGATGAAACTGGCTCTCATGAGGACCGCCACAGGAATGGAAGTCCCAGAGTTACCTCTGCTAAAGATAATAAGTTCATTAGAGTTACCAGCCTCAGAAATTGCAGCCCAAATAAATGCTTCACAGAGTTCAAGTCACAGACACATCTCAACATCAACTGTTCAGGGGGGACTGTATGAATCAGGCCTTCATGGTTGAATTGCTGCAAAGAAACCACTACTAAAGGACACCAATAATAAGAAGAGACCTGCTTGGGCCAAGAAACACGAGGAATGGACATTAGACTGGTGGAAATGTGTCCATTGGTCTGGAGTCCAAATTGGAGATTTTTGGTTCCAACCGCCGTGTCTTTGTGAGACGTAGTGTGGGTGAACGGATGATCTCTGCATGTGTGGTTCCCACCGTAAAGCATGGAGGAGGAGGTGTGAGGGTGTGGGGGTGCTTTGCTGGTGACACTGTCTGTGATTTATTTAGAATTCAAGGCACACTTAACCAGCATGGCTACCACAGCATTATGCAGCAATACGCCATCCCATCTGGTTTGGGCTTAGTGGGACTATCATTTGTTTTTCAACAGGACAATGACCCAACACACCTCCAGGCTGTGTAAGGGCTATTTTACCAAGAAGGAGAGTGATGGAGTGCTGCATCAGATGACCTGGCCTCCACAATACGCTGACCTCAATGCAATTGAGATGGTTTGGGATGAGTCGGACGACAGAGTGAAGGAAATGCAGTCAACAAGTGCTCAGCATATGTGGGAATCCTTCAAGACTGTTGGAAAAGCATTCCAGGTGAAGCTGGTTGAGAGAATACCAAGAGTGTGCAAAGCTGTCATCAAGGCAAAGGGTGGCTATTTGAAGAATCTCAAATATAAAATATATTTTGATTTGTTTAACACTTTTTTGGTTACTACATGATTCCATATGTGTTATTTCGTAGTTTGAAGTCTTCACTATTATTCTACAATGTAGAAAATAGTAAAAAATAAAGAAAAACCCTTGAATGAGTAGGTGTGTCCAAACTTTTGACTGGTAATGTATGCTAACACCAGTTAAATTCCACTCATTACTATTGTACATAGGATGATGTCTACAGATGGTGAGGCTACATAAAAAGGTGCTAATGGTATCGGGAAGTCCATTATCTTGACTAATAGCCAGGTTTACATCAGTTTGAGTTTGAACTGGTGGGAAAGTTTGCACCTGTTATATTCAAGGTGGAATACATAATGAATTGTAATCAATGGTCAAGCATGAGAAAATTATTTAGAAGTTTATTGTTTTTAGATTTACATTACGTTTTCTTTGTCATTTTATTCAGACAAATAACAGGAGGGATGACAGTCAGTCAGTCAGGCAGCACATCAAATCAAATTGTATTTGTCACATGCTTACTTACAAGCCCTTAACTAACAATGCAGTTCAAGAAATAGAGTTAAGAAAATATTTTTTAAAGTAAAAAAATAAAATAAAAAAACAACACAATAAAATTACAAAGAGGCTATTTACAGGGGGTACCGGTAAGGAGTCAATGTGCGGGGGTACAGGTAGTCAAGGTAACTTGTACATGTAGGTAGGGGTAAAGTGACTATGCATAGATAATAAACAGAGAGTAGCAGCAGTGTAAAAACAATGTGTGTGTGTGTGTGGGGGGGGGTCAATGTAAATAGTCCAGGTGGCCATTTGATTAATTGTTCAGCAGTCTTATGGCTTGGGGGTAGAAGCTGTTAAGGAGCCTTTTGGACCTAGACTTGGCGCTCCGGTACCGCTTGCCGTGCAGTAGCAGAGAGAACAGTCTATGACTTGGGTGACTGGAGTCTTTGAAAATTTGTTGTGCCTTCCTCTGACACCGCCTAGTATATAGGTCCTGGATGGCAGGAAGCTTGGCCCCAGTGATTTATTGGGCCATACGCACTACCCTCTATAGCGCCTTATTGTCGGATGCCGAGCAGTTGCCATATCAGGTGGTGATGCAACCGGTAAGGATGCTCTCGATGGTGCAGCTGTAGAACCTTTTGAGTATCTGGGGACCCATGCCAAATCTTTTCAGTCTCCTGAGGGGGAAAATACGTTGTTGTGCCCTCTTCATGACTGTCTTGGTGTATTTGGACCATGATAGTTTGTTGGTGATGTGGACACCAAGGAACTTGAAACTCTCGGCCCGCTCCACTACAGCCCCGTCGATGTTAATGGAGGACAGTTCGGCCCTCCTTTTCCTGTAGTCCACAATCATATCCTTTGTCTTGCTCACATTGAGGGAGAGGTTGTTGTCCTGTCACCACACTGCCAGGTCTCTGACCTCCTCCCTATAGACTGTCTCATCGTTGTCGATGATCAGGCCTACCACTGTTGTGTCATCAGCAAACTTAATAATGGTGTTGGAGTACAGAAGGACACTAAGCATGCACCCCTGAGGGGCCCCAGTGTTGAGGATCAGCGTGGCATATGTGTTGTTGCCTACTTACCACCAGGAAGTCCAGGATCCAGTTGCAGGGGGAGGTGTTTAGTCCCAGGGTCCTTAGCTTAGTGATGAGCTTTGTGGGCACTATGGTGTTGAACGCTGAGCTGTAGTCAATGAACAGCATTCTCACATAGGTGTTGCTTTTGTCCAGGTGGGAAAGGGCAGCGTGGAGTGCGATTGAGATTGCGTCATCTGTGGATCTGTTGGGGCGGTATGCGAATTGGAGTGGGTCTAGGGTTTCCGGGATGATGGTGTTGATGTGAGCCACGACCAGCCTTTCAAAGCACTTCATTGCTACCGACGTGAGTGCTACGGGGCGGCAGTCATTTAGGCAGGTTACCTTCGCATTCCTGGGCACAGGGACTATGGTGGTCTGCTTGAAAGATGTAGGTATTACAGACTCCGTCAACGAGAGGTTGAAAATGTCAGTGAAGACACTTGCCAGTTGGTCCGCGCATTCTCTGAGTACATGCCCTGGTAATCCGTCTTGCCCCGCGGCCTTGCGAATGTTGACCTTTTTAAAGGTCTTGCTCACATCGGCTACAGAGAGTGTGATCACAAAGTCATCCGGAACAGCTGGTGCTCTCATGCATGCTTCAGTGTTGCTTTCCTCGAAGCAAGCATAAAAGGCATTTCGCTCGTCTGGTAGGCTCGCGTCACTGGGCAGCTGGCGGCTGGGTTTCTCTTTGTAGTCCGTAATAGTTTGCAAGCCCTGCCACATCCGACGAGCATCAGAGCCGGTGTAGTAAGATTTAATCTCAGTCCTGTATTGACGCTTTGCCTGTTTGATGGTTCGTCTGAGGGCATATCGGTATTTCTTATAAGCATCTGGATTCGTGTCCCAAACAAAATAGCTCAGTTGTTTAGGAGCCCGTAAAACAGCAGCCATCCCCTCCGGCGCCATTATTTCACGCCATATTGCATTCTGTTTTGGTGCTGTGCTATGGGATGCACCCATATTCCCTTTATAGTGCACTAATTTTGACCATAAAGTAGAGCACTATAAAAGGAAAAGGATGTAATGAGACGCAACCATAGTCTGACTGGGGCCTGTGGTCATTTACAGAGCTTTCTGCTTTTTATATCTCTAATCCATTTCCCCCAACAACACCAGTAATCTGAACCCAGTCCTAACCTGCTGCAGGGTGGGTCCCTTACTGTCCCTGGATGGGGACTAGGAGGGGACTGTGCTGCCTGCCACTGATAGTGATGGCCCACATGAGAGCTGAACAGTCGCCTCTTAATCATGTGTTGGCTAGAACCACTGCTTTGATTTTGGTTACACACACATGCAGGCAAGCACACATATGCGCACACGCGCTCGCACACACACACACACACACACACACACACACACACACACACACACACAAACTAGGAGCGCACTACACTCTTAGAAAAGAAGGTGCTATCTAGAACCTAAAAGGGTTCTTCGGCTGTCCCCATAGTAGAACCCTTTTTGGTTCCAGGTAAAACCTTTTCAGTTCCAGGTAGAACTCTTTTGGGTTCCATGTAGAACCCTTTCCACAGAGAGTTCTACAATGAACCCAAAAGAGTTCTAGCTGGAACCAAAAAGGGTTCTCCTATGGGGACAGCCAAAGAACCTCTTTGGAAACTGGCAGGGGATGGAGAAAGCAGGTAGAGAGATGGCAGGTTCTGTGATGATGAAAAAGTCAGAGGACACTAACCAGTAGGAACAGATCTATGATTAATCACAGCTACCCAGGGGGGTGGGGCGGACCAACATCTAACATCTTTTCATCATTTCCTGAATGCATTATTGTACTGCTAGCCTGTGCTGTGCTGGAGAGGAGGTGTGTGTGTCTGTGTGTGTGTGTGTGTGTGTGTGTGTGTGTGTGTGTGTGTGTGTGTGTGTGTGTGTTGCGCTGCGAGAGGAGAGGAGAGGTGTGTTCAGATAAAAGCCAGCGTGCAGCGATTCTGCTGAAGACAGCAGGACAGACAGAGCCAACAGTAGAAGAATAAATCACTGCGTCCGTTTCTGAGAGACACAGAGGAGGGGAGAGACAGACGCACAGAGAGACACAGAGGAGAGACACAGAGACAGAGACACAGAGGAGGGGAGAGACAGAGATACAGTGAGACACAGAGGAGGGGAGAGACAAAGATACACAGAGAGACACAGAGGAGGGGAGAGACAGAGATACAGAGACACACAGGAGAGAGGAGAGACAGACACACAGAGACAGACACAAAGAGACAGAGACACAGACAGAGACAAACAGAGATACAGAGATATAGAGACACAGACACAGAGACACAGAGGAGACAGATAAACAGAGAGACAGAAACACAGCCTAAACTAGAAATTAACCAGTGGGGCTCCTTACACCTTTCTAATGGCCTGGGGTGACTTATACAAAAATATTTATAATGGGGTGCACGTATATGGGCATGAAAAACAGGACAGTATTTCACGCCTGTGGGTGTGATATGTTCAGTTGTTAAGAGATTGATTTATACCGGTTACACAGTAAATGAACAAACAAAATATAAACAAATGCAAGGAAATGTACAGTTAGCCTATTCCTTCTTCGTATGATCCCAGATCACCCTAAAAGGTATTTCCCTATTATTTCTAACCATAGTCTCCTGCTTGGACATGTTAGATGAAACAACTTATTTATTGAATACCAATCTCACAGTAACACTAATACTGTATCACAACTACAAATGATTACTCTGTTTTCCAGATGCTCTGTTTTCCAGTTGCAAATTGGTATAATAGCAAGCATACAGTGATTCTTCCTTTAAAAGTTGCGTCATACAGCAGCACAGCTTGCGGGGTGCTGCGGAATGGTATGGCATGTTGAAGTGCATGACTTCATAGTATTTTACTGTCAGCCACTGTTGCCATTAATGATAGTTCGACCACAAGAGGGCATCTTTGAGAAGCTATGTTATTGAAATGTCATGGGCTGTAGGCCTAAGAGTCTTGTTTACTGTAGCTGTTTTAGCGTAACTTACTTATTGGCATAAAGGCTTAGTTCAATATACAGCATATCAATCCATCATTCATTCATTTGTGCATGTCATCAAACAGTATACAAGTCATCCATGTCTTTAAATACAGTCAAGCATTTCAGTTATAAAACAAAATAACAAAGGGAGCCTTGAATAATTAAACAATGAATAAACCGCAACATTTCGGCTAAAGCGATTGAATTCACGAATGCATTTGACTGTTTTTAATATTGGCTGTACTATAAACTTTTTTTGTTAGAACTATATAGGATTGATTATAATTTGTTTGTAAATTATTATTGTATTTGTTGTGCTGTTTATACTGTTAGAAATGTAGCTTAATTAAATTGATTAATATTATGGTGTTTCTGTTCCAAGAAAAACAAAAATGCATTTTACAGTAGCCTATGTAAGCCTCAGGGTTTCCGTTAGGAAAATATGGCGCTGTACAACGTGACTGGTCGGGATTAGGCCTAGGAGTGAAGAGCAAAATAATCCTAACATTTCCACACCCTAATTGTAGGCTAACCAATACCCAAATGGAGATTCAGTAAAAATACAAATCTGATTGATTTATCAAGACCAGTCCCCATGCTTGTCTCAAAGCTGCGTAAAAAGGTCCTGAAATAGTTGACCACACGTGGGTAGGCTATTGCTTCAAATCCTATTATAACAATTGGATGACTTTGGGTGACTTTGTAAGTTTCAGTAAGCAACAATATGTTGGCTTCAATTGCATTAGCCTACTATATTCAGATATTTCTGTCATTCAGTGATATTTATTCCCATAGTAATTCGTCATGGATCCATCCAGATGTGGTTAGAAAACAGTGCACGTGGTGGGCTATGCAAAGAGATGGGTGAAGTGACATGCCTTGCAAACAGACATTAATACATTTAAAGTCCCTAAACTCGGCAAGAGTCTATCGTCCTGCTGATAGCCCATCAAGGTTGGATGGCATTTTTTGTATTCCAATTTATTGGAAAGGCTGCTAAACTATTTACACTTTGTCCACAGCGTTGTTGCGTACTTACAGTACAGTGCACTTTCACTCCATTCTCCGCCTGACTCTCTACCAATGCCACCAGATTATTATTTATATTGTTGTTATCTAGTCGGTAACATTCCACAAGTAAATGTAATAAATAAAACACCTACATTAAATAGCTCAGGTATTGAAAATACGTGAAACCTTTTTTTTTTGTGATTAGCAGCTGAGGCTTTACGGCTTCGCCATCAACTTGTTAATTTAACTTGTTAACATCACTTGCATATATTCAGTCAACACATATATTTTAAGAATATAATGGAATATAACAGACCATTTTCGTTCATCTTAGAATAAAAGCCTTACAGTGTAACAACAGTTTTAGTAAGTAATAAGCTACGGTCCAGTTACAGCTTCTTCGGATGAAGTAGAAACAAAAAAAGTGTCTTTTTTTTTGTGTGCCCGCGGGATAGAGGAAGAGCAATTCTTACACTATTGTTCTAAATTCAATCACTCTCTTCTTCATCCTCATCATTCAGTCAATTTAAATTCAATTGTAATACATTTTGTCACTCCTGTTTAACAACTCCAAATCGCTTTTGCATGTGCTCCAAAGGGATAACTTCAAATAACATGATATAGGTTCATTAAATAATCGAAAGGAAAAATGTGATTATTTATTAGCCTAGTGGTATCAGTATTTTAGGCATATCATGTGAATCAGGCCTCATGTAAAATCATTGTCAAAAGCGCAAGAGATACTGCTGCATGACAAACAGGTGCTGTTAGATTACAATATAATGTATCTGTCAATTTGGAACAGTGTAAACAATACTAAATAAAGTATAAGTAATACCAGAGTTTGTTCTAATGAAAAACAAAGTGTAAAGCCTTTAATACAGCATAGCAATGTTTAAAAACAGCCGGATTTGTGAAATTGCTTTATCCAACATTTTGTGGTTGCATGAGGCTTGGTGATCATAGAATCAGTAGGATATTAAACAAACACTCAAATAGGCAACAGAAGCAGGAACAGCATAGGGCTGAGTGACTCACTCATTCCTGGCTTTCGTTCAAAATAAGTTATATTATAATGCAGGGTTAAAGACACATTATTTCTGATTGTCTTTAGCATGCAGTCTCTCCTCTCACTACAGCTAATTTCGTTTGAATGATTATGTGGATTATAATAAATTAATATATTTGTAGGGGTTGATGCATTTTTCGTCAGAGCATATCTGGCCTGTGATATTGAGTTAGAAATGTAAAACTTTAGACTACTTAAGCTTCGAATACATTGCAAGTTTGCCCTTTTTTGGCCATTAGGCTACACTTTACAATGGGACTCAACTCTGACTGACCGCAGCATCTATCGGTAGTCTAAACTGTGGCACAAATTGGGGGATTTTTCACACCTAGCCGAGCTATTAGACCATACTTTTGTAAATTAATGGAGGTGTGAATGTTTCAGTCAGCCTCTCTCCTATCACACTAGAGTCCTGCATCAGGCAAAAAAAAATCAGCTGGCGGGTGGTCCAGGAGTTGAACGAGAACTTGAGTAAATACAATGCCGCAATTACACTTGACATGTGGACTGACGATTTTTGAAAAATAGGATACTTGTGCCTTACAGCCCATTACATAAACGAAGAGTGGATGTTATCCACCACTGAGTGGGACAGTGCGGCTCAAAACTGCAGATAACATAAGGCCAGCTATTGTGAAAGAATACTTGTGGATCTTGTTGATTTCCTCTATCGCTTCAAGAGGCATACTGTCCACCTGGTAATTGTGTGGTTCCCAAGGATAAAGCATCACCTTCAGATGGATGTGTGGTTTCAGAGAGAAGCCAGCTGCGAGCCTGAGACCAGGCACAGTGGATGAGATCCTTTTCCTGCACAGCAATTTGAAGAAATCCAGTGATGAATGGACTGTTTTTGAAGTAATTGTTTAAGTATATTTATTTGTTGTCTAATATTAGAAGGTTCTTTAAAGCAATTTGAGTTATCAATGTGCCGCATTGCATGGTGAAAAAATAAATATATATATATGTTCTTAATTCATGGCATGGTTTCTTTTTAGCCAAATGTTGAATAGACATGCAGACAAATTAATTAATGCAGGAAAATAGGAATATTAGCCCACTGTCTGTAGTCATAAACACAATTAGGCTAAATAAATAGATAATATTTTGTTGGGTAACGGATCGGCTCTCGGAACTCAATAAGAGGAGGCTTCTATCTTCAATATAATCATTCATTCAGAATGTTAAACCCACAGCTCTTAGGCCTGCAGTAAATGAAATTCGATTACCAGGTTCATTTTTCATTAGGTTATAATAACCCATGCCTTCTGGGAATGTAATAAAGTCCAAAAGTTATGGGTTGTGTTAGAAATGTGGCTGTCAGAAGTACAGTGGGGAAAAAACAGTATTTAGTCAGCCACCAATTGTGCAAGTTCTCCCAATTAAAAAGATGAGAGAGGCCTGTCATTTTCATCATAGGTACACGTCAACTGTAACTTCTTCTTTAAGAGGCTCCTCTGTCCTCCACTCGTTACCTGTATTAATGGCACCTGTTTGAACTTGTTATCAGTATAAAAGACACCTGTCCACAACCTCAAACAGTCACACTCCAAACTCCACTATGGCCAAGACCAACGAGCTGTCAAAGGACACCAGAAACATAATTGTAGACCTGCACCAGGCTGGGAAGACTTAATCTGCAATAGGTAAGCAGCTTGGTTTGAAGAAATCAACTGTGGGAGCAATTATTAGGAAATGGAAGACATACAAAACCACTGATAATCTCCCTCGATCTGGGGCTCCACGCAAGATCTCACCCCGTGGGGTCAAAATGATCACAAGAACGGTGAGCAAAAATCCCAGAACCACACGGGGGGACCTAGTGAATGACCTGCAGAGAGCTGGGACCAAAGTAACAAAGCCTACCATCAGTAACACACTACGCCGCCAGGGACTCAAATCCTGCAGTGCCAGACGTGTCCCCCTGCTTAAGCCAGTACATGTCCAGGCCCGTCTGAAGTTTGCTAGAGTGCATTTGGATGATCCAGAAGAGGATTGGGAGAATGTCATATGGTCAGATGAAACCAAAATATAACTTTTTGGTAAAAACTCAACTCGTCGTGTTTGGAGGACAAATAATGCTGAGTTGCATCCAAAGAACACCATACCTACTGTGAAGCATGGGGGTGGAAATATCATGCTTTGGGGCTGTTTTTCTGCAAAGGGACCAGGACGACTGATCCGTGTAAAGGAAAGAATGAATGGGGCCATGTATCGTGAGATTTTGAGTGAAAACCTCATTCCATCAGCAAGGGCATTGAAGATGAAACGTGGCTGGGTCTTTCAGCATGACAATGATCCCAAACACACCGCCCGGGCAACGAAGGAGTGGCTTCGTAAGAAGCATTTCAAGGTCCTGGAGTGGCCTAGCCAGTCTCCAGATCTCAACCCCATAGAAAATCTTTGGAGGGAGTTGAAAGTCCTGTGTTGCCCAGCGACAGCCCCAAAACATCACTGCTCTAGAGGAGATCTGCATGGAGGAATGGGCCAAAATACCAGCAACAGTGTGTGAAAACCTTGTGAAGACTTACAGAAAACGTTTGACCTGTGTCATTGCCAACAAAGGGTATATAACAAAGTATTGAGAAACTTTTGTTATTGACCAAATACTTATTTTCCACCATAATTTGCAAATAAATTCATTAAAAATCCTACAATGTGATTTTCTGGAAAGAATTATCTCATTTTGTCTGTCATAGTTGACGTGTACCTATGATGAAAATTACAGTCCTCTCTCATCTTTTTAAGTGGGAGAACTTGCACAATTGGTGGCTGACTAAATACTTTTTTCCCCCACTGTATTACAATGCAAATTAACTTTTAATCCGTCTGTCTGCATATTTCAAGACATTGCATATTATGGTGCAGTGAGATACCCTATGGGTTGGACGATACTTTTCTCGTCAATCATCTTGAAAAAACGTATACTTAAAAACTGAAAATCAACCAATGTCAGTCTTTAAACACTTTATTATCCAAATGTTGAAAGTGCATGTGGGCGACGGAGAGAAACAAAATGGTGCAGTTTGAGGCCATGTGGCGGAGAGTGATGCGGGCGCTGGAGATGGGGGTGTGAGCATGTGGGTCTGGGCAGGTGTGATGTAGTTGTCGTTTGTATGTGTATGTTTTGTTTTGTCTAAAAATATAAAATAAAATCTTACAAACAAATTAAATAAGGAAAAATTACGAGCTTGCAACACGCATCTGATTAATCATTATGAATAGGATTTATTTGATTTATTTTCGTTTACATTCTTCATTGTAACCACAATGTCACAAATAATTCAACACACACAACATGAGCAGATTAACTTGGTCCCAAAAAAATATTTATTAAAGACTATCAGAAAGAATGTTGGTACTTTGTTTGATCCAAAGCCACGAATGAGTGAGTCACTCAGCTTTATGCTGACAAAAATAGCTTAATGCTGCGAAATAGCCTACTAAACTAGTACATTTTATGAATATATGAAGTAGCTCAGGTCTTGAAAATATGGAAACCTTTTTCCCCTCCCTATCCTCGCTGGACTCTCTTTCATTCAGTTTATTCTTCACATCAGCAAAGAAGAACTCCGTGTTTCAGAAACTCACTTTATATAGAGGGGCTATCACTCTTTCACACTGTGGTAAATAAAGCCTGTTTGTTATTATTTATTTCTGTTTTTAGAGGGAGAGAAACCAAAAGCCCACCGTGTCTATTTTTCGAAAATCGTCAGTACACATGTCAAGTGTAATTGCGCAATTGTATTTAGACAAGTTCTCCCTCAACTCCGGGACCACCCGCCAGCAAACATGTTTTTTGCCTGATGCAGGACTCTAGTGCCAGAGAAGAGAGACTCTCGGACTGAAACATTCACACCTCCATTAATTTACGAAAAGATAGTCAATTTGTGCCCCAGTTTAGACTACAGATAGATCAGCGTTCTAACTCCCCTTTGTGATAGTGTTGTGCAATGACAGAATGACGCAATTTACCAAAATCTGCCACAATCTACCACAAACAGTCGTGGCATAAGCTCTAAACTTTTAATTGATGAACCACTGTACATGTATAACCCATTCTCCATCATTGCAGGAGTACCCACTAGGCTGACAATGAACTGTGCTGATAAGTGAATATGATAATCCAGGTTAACCTAGTTTTTAACCAGCAGCCCAATTTAAGAGTGTTAGGTCTTTAATTTCTTAGCTAAAGTATAATAAACAAATTCCTAGAAAACCATACATCTGGAACATTCCCTATAGTGTCCTTACCTGTTTCATATTATGATAGAAAAGCCATGTTTTTTGAAGATGGATTTAAGCCTTCTGAACATGAGTCTAAACGGTCGCTTTGGGAAACGCAGCGAGCCACTTCAGTGGCGAAAGCCAAAAGGTGATGTTTGTGTGTCAGGGAGAAAACCCATTGGAGTCACAGCGATCACTCTAGCCCATTGCTACCTGTCAGATTGTACAAATTGAATTTGTCTTCCTTCGGTGGCTTGTTGAGGCTCTAAACAGCGTATTAGCGAGGCCCCTTATCAAAGCTGTCAAAGCAAATGTGTTTAGCTGCACTCCTATGTGACATCAACGTTTTTCTAGATGACATTACATCTCCCTTTATTACAAATGGCATTGTGATTGTTTTAGAAAGGGACAAAATGTAGCTCTCACCAGGTTATCTAGAAGACATAAATCTTGCACCGACAAAAGTAGTGCACTAAATATGGAATAGGGTGCCAACACAGACTTTCTGTCCTCCGAAAGCCAGGTCATCCATCTACAGCCACTCTCAGAGAGGACTGAGATGAAAAGCTGAGTGTAGTCATCATCATCACCTGAGAGAGGCTTCTCACGTTTACGCTAGCCTCTCCGCCACCCTACTATCCTCCCTGTTACGGTCCCGGTGGGAGCTGGCTGTCATGCAGCTTTCGTGTGGCTCCATTAAACGTTGATACTGATGCTGGGAGCTTTGTCTCAGAGCGGAGGGTTGAGGGGCTCTCAACACATGGCTAGAGGAGCACAGCATTATCACTCATACAGCATGGGCTGTTTCATCCTCACATGGAAGTCACTCTGAGAGGTGTGTGTGTGTGTGTGTGTGTGTGTGTGTGTGTGTGTGTGTGTGTGTGTGTGTGTGTGTGTGTGTGTGTGTGTGTGTGTGTGTGTGTGTGTGTGTGTGTGTGTGTGTGTGTGTGTGTGTGTGTGTGTGTGTGTGTGTGTGTGTGTGTGTGTGGCGCAGTATGCACATGGCTCTGTTTCTATTTGCTGGAGCGAAAAAAAAGGGAAGTGCAGGTGTCTCTCTTTCTCTCTCTCTTTCTTGCTCTCTCTCTCATTCTCTCTCTCTCTCTCTCTCTCTCTCTCTCTCTTTCTCTCTCTCTTTTCTTTCGCTATGTATTGCCTATTGTTAGACTTTTTCTCTTTATTTAGAAGGAACAAAAAATAATCTCTGCTTTGTCCTCGACAGACCTAGTTTTTTCAATGAAAACATGCAAGGTGCCAAAAGCAATTAGATAGAAGAACATCTCTGCAGGAAATAGCACCCTTAAACATGCATCAGTAGAGAGTCATTGTCTTATGATCAACAGGAAAGCAGAAGGGAATATCATAAGCATAAGGGAATATCATAAGCACAAGGGAACATTAAGAGTGATAAGCACATGGAGATGTGAACACACGTCATTGACCAAGGTCATTTGCTGACAGATCGGAGGGGGAGGGGACATCATCTAACAGAAGAATGGGAGGGGTTTTATAAAATTAAGTATGATTTGTACTGTAATGTTATAACAACGTAAATGAGATGTTTGGAGAAGAAAATGTGATCATGGACCAATTCTGTCATGTCTTCTTGTAGTTACTGTACTGTTTACTTGTTTGTTTACTTAGTTATACAGGCATTGCTTTTCATTGTTTCAAAATAAATACTTGAACTGTCAGCTGCTTGTTGTCTTGAAGTAAAATTAAAATAGAAAACACATCACAGAGGCTAACTGAATAGAAACTATTCTTTGTTTGCAGTTGCACAATATGATCTGAAAATCTCTAGCCCAAATCCAGCACTACTTACTTTGGGAAACTGTTTGACGGGTATTAAGACTTTCTGGCCCAGCTTCATGTTCTTGTTGATGACGACGTCGATGAACTTCTCTTCTTTTTCTTCTTTTCCTTCATCTTTTTGTAATTTTTCGATTTCTACAAGGAGAAAGATAAAAGCAAGATAAGAGTCAATGACTATAAATGATTAAGACAAACATTCAAAACGTGATCAAAGGATCAAAAGATGTTTGTCCATTTTCTCACAGGAGTTTGTTGAACTGAAATAATAGCCTTTACGTGTGCCAGTTTGCCGGTTGGTTTGTTGTCGCTCAGGCTCACACCTTTTTATGGCTCAGTCAACTGTGAAATAGGCTCTTTTGGCAATGTTGTAATTTACCTGGATATGGTTCTAATCATATCACAGTCATTCATCGTGCCATTGGACAAAGCTCTCTGTCTGGTTTGTAATATTTTGCAATATAATAGTAGGTAGATCAAATTTGACTTTCCCAGACATTTGAATAGCTTTCATGTTTTACCTCATGAAGATGTATAATGAGGGAGTCTGCATGTAGAGAGGTGAGTATATCTCTAGGGTATGGAACATATTGGGCGCGATGGTTCCTCCCGTTTAGAAGGTAACCTTTGATGTATTTGAAGATATAACCTTGAAGGTTCAATGAGATGGATAACATCTGTGTTCAGGAGCCAATAAAATGGTTATGTAGCGGGGGCCAGGGAGGGCCAGGTGGGGAGGGGACCAAGGGCAGAACCGAAGCCTTCAGGCTAGCACTGGTCAGTGGACACTTTAACTGGGGTAGTGGAGGGAGGATTTCAATAGAAACACACCCATTCTCTATGGACATATACAGTGCATTCGGAAAGTATTCAGACCCCTTGACTATTTCCACATTTTGTTACGTTACAGTCTTTTTCTAAATTGGATTAAATAAACAATTTTCCTCATCAATCTACACACAATACCCCATAATGCCAAAGCGAAAACAGGTTTTTAGAAATTGTAACAAATGTATAAAAAAGTATATTTTGCTATAAGACTCGAAATTGAGCTCAGGTGCATCCTGTTTCTATTGATCATCCTTGAGATGTTTCTACAGATTGATTGGAGTCCACCTGTGGTAAATTCAATTGATTGGACATAATTTGGAAAGGCACAGTGGCCTCCATCGTTCTTAAATGGAAGAAGCTTGGAACCACCAAGACTCTTCCTAGAACTGGCCGCCCGGCCAAACTGAGCAATCAGGGGAGAAGGGCCTTGTTCAGGGAGGTGGCCAAGAACCCGATGGTCACTCTGACAGAGCTCTAGAGTTCCTCTGTGGAGATGGGAGAACCTTCCAGACGGACAACCATCTCTGCAGCATTCCACCAATCAGACCTTTACGGTAGAGTGGCCAGACGGAAACCACTCCTCAGTAAAATGCACATGACAGCCCTCTTGGAGTTTGCCAAAAGGCACCTAAAGACTCTCAGACCATTCAAAACAAGATTCTCTGGTCTGACGAAACCAAGATTGAACTCTTTGGCCTGAATGACAAGCATCACGTCTGGAGGAAACCTGGCACCATCCCTACTGTGAAGCATGGTAGTGGCAGCATCATGCTGTGGGGATGTTCTTCAGCGGCAGGGACTGGGAGACTAGTCAGGATCGAGGGAAAGCTGAACGGAGCAAAGTACAGAGAGATCCTTGATGAAAACCTGCTCCAGAGCGCTCTGGGCCTCAGACTGGGGCAAAGGTTCACCTTCCAACAGGACAAAGACCCTAAGCACACAGCCAAGACAATGCAGGAGTGACTTCGGGACAAGTCTCTGAATGTCATTGAGTGGCCCAGCCAGAGCCCGGACTTGAACCAGATCGAACATCTCTGGAGAGACCTGAAAATAGCTGTGCAGAGACGTTCCCCGTCCAACCTGACAGAGCTTGAGAGGATCTGCAAAGAAGAATGTGAGAAACTCCCCAAATATAGGTGTGCCAAGCTTGTAGCGTCATACTCAAGAAGACTCGAGACTGTAATCGCTGCCAAAGGTGCTTCACCAAAGTACTGAGTAAAGGGTCTGAATACTTCAGTATTTCAGTTTCTTATTTTTTATAAATGATAATGTTTTTTTCTAAAAACCTGTTTTTGCTTTGTCATTATGGGGTTTTGTGTGTAGATTGATGAGAAAAAACAAACAATTTAATCAATTTTAGAATAAGGCTGTAACCTAACAAAATGTGGAAAATGTCAAGGGGTCTGAATACTTTCCGAATGCACTGTACTTCCTAATAGGGCTGGCACAACTACCGTATAACCATGTAACCGACAGTTATGGATGAAGACCATCATGAAAATCAAATAACCGTCAATATTGTTGAATTTTTTTTACGAAAAGCTGACTGAATGACCACAAGGCAGCAGAAGCACACATAACAATAGGATGGTGTCATGACTCTCCTGGGTGAGGATGAAAGGCCTCATATCGGTTTTGACACCTTAACACTCTGTGGTAAATTAGGCAGGAGGGGAGTGTCTCCCTTTGCTCCTCAGTATTGGGAAATAACTATCCCTTTGTTACCGAAGGTTTTGCAACCCAAAAAAAACTTCAACATCCAGCAATGAACACTTGGACAATATATTTCAACATCTGAATGTTGGGAATGATGAGAAATGGAATATGGAAAATTAATGTATATTTTGTGATGTCATTAAAAATGGTATAAAGGCGTTATAATGAAAACATTGTAACTTGAAGAGCTTTTACACGGTGTTTACATCCTTTACCTTGTGTAGAAAATATCAAGGAGGAAGACAATATTTTCGTGAAGATAGGAATGTGATTTTAGCGTTCTAACAAGATCATAGTGATGATGATATTTTGCCTAGTAACTGGCCACGCCCGAGGGAGCTCAGAGAGCTTGTCAGTATGACGGAAATGCCCCTTTTTACCCGAGGGTATAAAAGATTGAGTTAAGAATTAACATACCAGACCAGACGGACTGAAGCTGCAGCTTTTGTCTCCATTGGTTACGACCCTGAAAATCAACACGAGGTGAAGACGACAAAGTCGCCTCTCTAACAATCAAGGTTACGGCTGAGTAGCTGTTCTAAGTACTGTATCTAAGAAGGTGAATTTAAGTGGGACCATCCTGTTACTTCAAACCATCGTCTACTACACTGCTCTCATCACCCCACTGGGGATCATCGACACGGCTGATTAGCCGTCCTCAGAAGACAACTTCCAGAACTAGTGAAAGTAAACAGACAACTAAGAAGAAGGACATTGTGACTTCTTGTGGACAATCAGAGCCTTACACCTTAGATTGAAGTAGAAGGCCCATCCGAAACAGAAGGCCCAATCAAACCCTTTCCACAAAGGCCTGGGTCCAACAGAGATACACGACGAAGATCTTCAACACGTAAATACATGCATTACTTCTTACCCAAAAGGGTTGGCAGTTCAGGGCAAGGTATTAGAATTACAGTGAGAGTTCTTCACAAATGTGTCCAAGTGTTGCATCTCTTCCTCTCGCCCTCTCTCTCTCTTTCTTTAACTCTCCATCTTTTGTAACAAGTGTCATATTGCGTTAGTCCACTAGGGACCTGTCGTCATCGTATTAAGTTTCTAATCAATAACCTATACCGTGTGTGTATTACATTTACATTTACATTTACGTCATTTAGCAGACGCTCTTATCCAGAGTGACTTACAAATTGGTGCATTCACCTTATAGCCAGTGGGATAACCACTTTACAATATGTATTTTATTTTTATTATTTTTATTTTTTGGGGGTGGGGTGGGGTAAGGGGGGGATAGAAGGATTACTTTATCCTATCCCAGGTATTCCTTAAAGAGGTGGGGTTTCAAGTGTCTCCGGAAGGTGGTGAGTGACTCCGCTGTCCTGGCGTCGTGAGGGAGCTTGTTCCACCATTGGGGTGCCAGAGCAGCGAACAGTTTTGACTGTATCCTGTGTATCCTGTGTTATCATTTAGTTTGGTAGTAAATAAATAATCAAATCAATTTGTGTGATATGGAATGATCAGTAAGACTCAGGTTTGTGCAGATTCAAGAAGTCTGCGACGTTCAGAATGAGACTGACATGAGGTAAATGATTAATAAGTGACTGTTATCGATATCTATATATTATTGAGTTTAATTCGGGAGATGGTAACTCATTAAACAACTTCTCCCGTGGTGCCACAAATTCCTAATTAGTTAATTGTTACATGATTAATTTAATCTAGTAACAATTAAACATAGTAGGTAATTATTCGATAAATAACAGTCATCACATTAATGAAAGTCACGTCACAACAATGGATAGAACAAGCTTGGAACCTCTAACCCTGGCAATTTGACTGGTAAACTCATGGCTACACTCGCAATGTCTGCCTGGTACTGCGATGCAATAATTTCCATGGTAATGTATGATGTTAATTCAATTGATGTTAACTGATGTGGCTCATGAAACGGTATGCATTTTTCGTCATGTGATTTGACAGCACATATTTTACTTCCTGCTTTGCTCCTATGGGTACACTCGCAATGGCCGCCAGTCCACTCATTTTTCCATCATTGATTTGAATGGGGATGCCCGTTCTATTCACAGTGGAGTGTATTCATGGATGCCAAAGGAAGCCAGGCTTCCCCCAAAAATTGACCAACAAAAAAACAAATTGACCAATGTTTATGATTGCGACTCTGATCCAACCATAAATTCATAAATTGTGCCTCTGGCCTGAGAGGATATAAGTTCAATATGTAGCTAGATTAAGTAGGCTAATACTAACTAGCTGGCTAATTGTTGCTCATGAAAGGAAGTTAGGCTAGCGAGCAAGCATTTTAGCCAGGACAGCCTATGACAACAAAAACTAAAAGCGTACTGTATGACAGAGTCATAGACTGTTTAGGCAACATGAAAGAGAGGAGGATGGCATTTCGTTTCTCTACAAGCAGGGTGAGTCAACATGTTTTTTCTACTTGTGCACACTGACACACACAGATAAATCAGTACCATGGACAGCCACATTATATTTAGCATATGTTGATTGGACTAAATTGTTTTTGGAATCTTTTAGTTGTCACTGTATTAGACTAAGCATAGGTGATTTGATGATGTTGAAATGTTGAAGTTGAAATAGTGCTGGAATAGTGGAGG